TCAGACCGGAGTTCAGTGGAGGTTGAGGGAAAAGGTGATTTCTGATAAAAGGCCCTTTATTCTCTTGATTGCATGAAAGGGGCCCATTCCGAGCATGGCTGTGACTATGGGCAGGGGGGACCACCGTTCACAGGGAGCCTGGATGGGCTTGGGGACGTTGTCTGTTACCGACCACCTCCACAATCCTTTATGCTGTAGATACTGTCCTCCCTATTTTATTTTACAGAAGGTGCAGCTAAGGCTCAGAGAGTTTGCCCCAAGTCACAGTACTTAATAGCAAGTCAGGATTCGCACCCGGGCAGGGCCTTCCCAATGCCAGAGCAGTCGGTACACACCCTTTCTGTGATGCCCAGCCTCCGCCTGCCGTTTCTCCACTGCCTGGCTGTGCGGTGGGAGGTTCAGAGGAGCTCAGGCCCGAGGCCCCATCTCCCTTGGGTTCTGAGAAGACAGCTCCATACCCCATTGTAAGAGAAACTGGGCTGGGACCTGACAGTGGCCAAGATGGGCTGCAGAGCACAAGGGGAGAAAGGAGTTCCACCTGGAGGTCCAATTGCCACAGGAGGCAACATTGGAGCTGAACTTGGAAGAATGGCTGGGACTTCTGCACACAGAGAAGAAAGGGACTCGAGAGGGCAGGCACAGCCATGGCCTAGAGGCAGAAAGGCAGGTGGTGGATTTGGGGACTGGCCGTTCTTGTGATTGGAGCCTGGGGCTGGGCGTGACGCCCAGCGGGGTTATGTAGGAGAAAATGGACCAGGTCAGGTTGGCATCGAGTCTCTGAGGACCTCACTTGAGCACCAGTGTGCGGCGTTGCCCTCCATCCCGAGCACTGGGAGGCAGAGCCAGTGAGGGTTCGTGAGCCCAGCAGAGCCGCGCTTTGGAGGCCCGTCTGCTTTTTGGCAGCTTGTTCTCTGGCCAGCCCTAAACCATACACAGAGAGGAGCTGGACCTCGAAGAAACACATGTATTTCATCTGAGCAGATATTGACTAAGCACCATCTCCGTGCCGAGCGCTGTGGTAGGTTTAGGGGCAAACAGGACAGGAGAGGAAAAAGAAATGAAATGAGTGCCAGGTGCTGCCCCCACCCCAGGGCCAGGCTGACTGGTGAGCAGTGGTGTGGGTGCCCCTGGGCGGGGAGGCCTTTTGCCACCCTGAACTCCTAGATGTCCTACAGCTGGAGCAGGACCGTGGTCATTGCAGGTCCCGAGGTGGGGGGCACAGCCCAGAGACCGGATGAATGGGGCACAGCCCCTGCCGCCTGGCAGTGTCTTTATGGGGAAGGAGGATCTGGAGGGGGGTAAGCCTGACCCTGGCGGCCTGCAGGCCTGGGCTCCAGGCTCGGCCCTACACCTTAGCTCGAAGAACCTGGAGGCGGTTTTCCCTCACCTCCTCACCCATTACCCACAGGATGGCCGGGTTCTTGTCAGGGTCAGAGCTAATGTGGGTGCCCGGGATACCATCCTTCCTTATTTTTAGTGACTCAACTTCAGGACCAATTGGTACAAAACCCGTACAAGGCCAGTCCTCAGATGATGCCCTGCCACACAGCCCAGTTCTGTTCCAACGTTGCTGGGCTGCTGCAGGAACCTAGCTCTTGATTATACCGATCAGCCGGTGGTGAAACCGGTTTTGTCATAATGTTGCTTCGCTTAAAGTCGCAGAACCTGGCAGTGGTGTTGGGACAGTTAGGCCTTTCCTGTACAAGCAGGGAGGGGACCAGCGATGGAGGCTGACCTGGATGGAAGGGGAATAAAGGCCTCCTGGAATGTGGGGGGCACCCAGCTGGGTCTGGAAGGATGAGGTCTGCCCTCGGACCACTTTCAGAAGGACATTTCAGGCATCGCAAAAGGGCGATTTTCACCTGCCCTGGAGAAGAGGCTGGTGGAGCCGCCACCTGGGCCTCCCCCCTCACCGCCCGATGGGGGTGGGGGGAGGAGTCCATTCCTATCGTCTAGTCCCCCCTCCCTTCTGTGGAGCTCAGAGTACCATTTGTAACTGCCTGTAGGTGGAATTAATTAGGTTCCGTCACCCTTACAATTCTGCAGGGTGGCACATTTTTTCTCTAAATGCAGATATTCTTTTGAGAGCTGTGTCTTCCTTTATCTTTTGCAGAAAATCACTAAATTAAAAGAATTGCCATTTTAAATTGCAGATTAAAGTGAAACCTAATTAGAAGGAATGAAGGCAGTAGTGTTTGGAGCTTTTGTTCCTAACGATTTTTTTTCTTTTGCTCCTGAATCACTGCACTTGGAGTTTGTATATTTTTATTTTAGGTGAAATGATTTGCCTAATTAAGCCTGTCATTCACCACCACCTGTTCTCTCGAAAATATATGGCTATATTATTAAGCTTGCAGGCGAATGTATAAATTAATTCAGCAGGAATGACAGTGTTGCCTGGGACGTTACTATGTTTTATCCAATTTGTCTGGTAAGAAAACTGATATTTTTCCCCGATGATGTGAAACGGCCGCTGATTGAGTTTCTTCATTAGTCTTCCGTTGAGCACCTATTATGCGGCAGGTGTGTGCTGGGGGTGGAGGTGGGGCAAATAGAGTATAACCCCTGACTTGGGGGGGCTCAGGAGGAGCCAGACAGGAACACTGGTGATTAGGATACCGTAGGCTGCAGTCAAGGTTAGTCTGGGGAGAGGAACTCTCTCTCTTTTAAATAAACTTTTTTTTTAGGATTTTATTCATTTATTTTTAGAGGGGACAGTAAGGAGAGAGGGAGAGAAGTATCAATGTATGATTGCCTTTCATGTGTCCCCCGCTGGGAATGGCCTGCAACCCAGGCATGCACCCTGACTGGGAATCGAACCGCGGTCGTCTGGTTCGCAGGCCCGCGCTCAATCCACTGAGCTACACCAGCCAGGGCATTCTTTTAAATAAACTTTAAAAAATTTTTTTTGGTTCACAGCCAAATTGGACAGAGAGTTCCCGGGTACCCCTGCCCCCCCTCTCCTTCCAGCACAGCAGCCCTGTTCTGAAAAGCGCCAGGTCACAGCCTTGCCCAGCGTGACACCCGAATGGCTCTCCTTTCTCTCAGAATGAAACCAAAGTCCTGCCCAAGGCCCACAGAGCCCCATGTCCTCCCACTCGCCTTCCCCCAGCCCCGCCACCCTCCAGCTGCCCCGGGCTGCCTTATTTCTCCAACACCCCAGGCATGTTCCCACCTTGGGGCTCTGGAACTTGCCCTTCCCTCTGTCTGGAATGTCCTTCCTCCCAGCAGATGTCCACATGGCTCGTCCCTCCTTTCCTTCAGATGTCGCCTTCCGAGAGGCCTCTGCTGCCCGTCTTTAGTTGCTCTGCAGCACTCGCCGTGAGCTGGTGTGCGGCGGGTCTGATGTGCTCCGCCGACTGTCTCTCTTCTCCTTGGGCTCTGAGCTCCGCAGGCAGGGACGTCTCTTTGGTCGCTGCTGTTTCCCCAGCCCCGAACGTTGTTTGGCCCGAGTGAGTGAGTGTTTGGGGGGAGATAAGTGAATGGACGACCCGTCAGGCCCAAATGCACACACGCGCGCGTCCAGCCTGTCTGGCAGGAACTCCCTCCCTGCTGTTTTCTTTAGTGGTCAATAGAGAAGAGTATCTTGGAGGGATGGAAGTGCTTCACAGACCTCATACGTGGTCTCGTCGCTGTCATAGAACAAGTTCATTTCCACAGAACAAGTTCGGTCCCTGTAGACAGTACGGCACCACTGACGGCTGAGTTTTCCCACCACCTTCCATGAATGCGAGGTTCATGGCTGTATGTCAGGTTGATGGCTGTATGTCTGTCTGGAGTCACAGGCTGACTTGCCACATCTGAGCTTGCTGGTTGGAGGGCAGACGTGTTGCTCGGCCAAGGATGTGTGTCGGTTGGCTGGTGGCTGGACACGACTTTGGGAACTTTGTTTCACAGACCCTGACCCAGTTTACTCAGCACTCCGAGTGCGCCAGGCCCTTAGGATATATGTTCCCTCGTCTGATCGCCACAGAGGCCTGGTGACAGGAAATGTGCCTCAGAGAAGCTGAGTGACATAGGGAAGGCTCACAGAAAGCCAGGGCAGGCTTAGGAGAGGAACTCAGGCCGGGTCAGTAGCTCACGCGCAGTGACTAGCACCGTGTCCCCACTGAGCGAACTCGATGGCAGAATATGTGTAATAGACAACCCTGATTGAGCACAGACCACACGCGCATTGCATGATCGAAGCCTCACAGCAACCCCTCAAGGTGGGTGCAGTCGCTGAGGCTCAAAGAGAAACTTGCAAGGTGGCCTAGCTGGTCTCTGGGAGTACTTCCAGCAGCTCCGGTTTCAGCTCAGTGTTTCCTGCTCTCTGTGGGTTGTCTCCAAGGCCCTGCCCTCGGGAAGCGTCATCCCCAAACCCATGGGGGTGAGCGATGCTCCTGCAGGCCCAACAAGGGACAAAAGCCCATGGGAGGGTCTGTCCCCCTGTGACAGGCACTGTCAGGCCTCCCCAGGTGGCTGCGTGGGGCCCACACAGGGGCACCAAGCAAAGACACGCAGACCTGGGTTGCCACGTGGCCCTGACCGGAACTCTGTGGGGATGTCCCAGGAGAAGGGGTGCCAATATGGCCAGTGCAGCCCGTTGGGACGGGAGAGCAGGAGGAGGTGAGGAGCTACTGGGAGGCAGGTTTTGGACGCAAAACAAGGAATAATGTTTTTTCCTGAGAACTCTCCAGGGGCCTGAGCCCCTGCGGGTGTGTCCTGCCCCCCCTTGCTGCAGGTTGCAGGGGGCTTCCCGGGGGATAAGGCTGAGCTCAGCGGCCTCTGCAGACTTAACGAGCCCCTTGAAAGTACCATCTGGCTTTAACAGCACCTTCGTGCCCTGTCGTAGGAAGTCTGCCTCTTTTGAGCCGTGTATATTCATTGCTTGGAGTTCTTCCTCCTGAGAATTGTAAAGCCCCCACGAGCAGTTGACATACCCCACGATGCCACACAGTAACTCCTTGGGCTGAGCTCCTGGTAACCTCTCTCTTTCTCTCTCTCTCCCGCCCCCACAGCCCAGTTTAACGGCAACGAGAAACGACAGTCATCCCCCTCGCCTTCTCGGGACCGGCGGCGCCAGCTTCGAGCTCCCGGCGGGGGCTTCAAGCCCATCAAACACGGGAGCCCCGAGTTCTGTGGGATCCTGGGAGAAAGAGTGGACCCCGCTGTCCCGCTGGAGAAGCAAATGTAAGTTCTAAGGGGGCAAAGCGCAACCTCAGCTCCCGGTTCATAGTCACTGCTCTTCCCTCTATTTCCTTGTTCTTATTTTTTTAATTCACAGACTCAGAAAATGTTAGAGCTGCAGTGGTCTTTAAGTCCATACCCCTACCTGCCCCCATGTACACATGGGCAGGCTGAGGCTCATGGAAGGTCAAGGCCACCGCCAGGTCCACGGCAGAACGGGATTAGAACGTGTGTGTCATTCCCAGCCAGGTGCTGTCTCTGTCCACACGGAGTCACCTCCCTTACTTTCGATGACTAGGAGGAGGGACACAGTTCCCTCTTCCCTCTTACGTGCCAGTTTCTATCTTCACCACGTAGCAAATGAGTTTTTAGGTAGCTAAATGTATACCAAATCCTGTTCCCTAATTGTAAATTAGATTTGTTTTCTAGCTTGTGACATTTTTGCCCCACATCTGCTTGGTATTCGTTGGGCATGGCCTTGACACTCTGGATTTGGGTTTTCTCCCAGGCCTGCTGGTCGGGCCTGCTTCTGCCCTCCCCTTGGCCGTGATGAGCCTCCCCCTTCTCTGCCAGGGTCCTCATAGGTGCAGGTCCCTGCTCAGCCCTGAAACCTTCCATTGCTCCTCATCACCTCTAGGACAGAGTCCCATCGCCGAGCCTGCCACTTACTCCATAAAGTGCCCCAAGTCACTCTTTCATATCCTCACCATTCCATTCCGCATATCTGAACTTGAGTGAGTTTCTCCGGGAGCAGGTCCTGGGTCTTGTGCTGGTGTATCAGCCTCTAAACAAGCAAATGTGTAACAAATGGGCTTATCAGCCCCACTGCACAGGTGAGAAAATCAAGGATCCCAGAGGGGCAGAGCCTTTGCTAGGCTGTCAGGGTTCCAGTGCAGAGGCAGGATTTGAACTCCAGCCCCATGACTCTCCCTCTGCTCCTCGTGCAGATTCTTGCCCTCGACCCTTAGCACATGCCTGGCACAGAGCAGGCACCCAGTCAGCCTGAGAGATTAGCTGATACCAAGCCGGTTCCTTGCGAGACTGTCTCGTGCGGATCAGGAACTGTATCCGTCTCCACCCAGGGATTCTGCTCGCAGCAAGGCCAACAGTGCACCCCTCGCAGGAAACGCTCGCCCGGTGAGCAGGATGCAGGGCTTTCCGATGACGTCCTGTGCTCACGTGCCCGTTTCAGCACGTGCCATCATCTCGGGAGGCTGCAGCCTCCGGGCCTGCCCCTCGCCTGCTGTACTGAGCACATGGCAGGGGGAGCGCTCCCAGCGGGCATTGTATTCGTCGTTTCTCAGAGCCACGCAGATTGGGTGGCAGGTTTTGCTTATGTCTGATCAAACTGTACTTTTTAACCAACAAACACAGTGTGATCCAGAGATGCCAGAAGCTGCTCATCGTGCATCCTGACCCAGGTCTGCCTGGCATCAGCGGCCCAGCCTGTGCTCTTCCCACCCCCGGGCAGAGCTTTCGTGAGGCTGGGGCCCTCGAAGGCAGTTCTGCTTGCTTTCCTTTCCCATTCCCACTCAACAAGGCTCTTGGCCAAGTTCGTAGTCATGGCCAGCTTTCCCTTTCCTGTCATCTCTTCTTCCAGGGATTATTCTGGCCTGTGGAAGACCCTGACTCATCACCCAGAGGTGTGCTCTGGTACATTCCCACTTCCAGCACATCCTGGTGACCCAGACAGAGAGATCACTTAATCCCTCCCCTCCCCTGCCCCCGGCTGCTGGTGCCTCAGAGTTTAGGAGGGACCTCTGAGTCTCGGTGCCTCCCCACCCTAGCACAGGGGAGGGGAGTGGGGCCGACGCCCCGAGGGCCGTGTCCTGCAGGGGTTGTTGAGGGTGGACAGTCACACTTCTGCCTGCTTTCCCTCCTGGGACAGTGAGTTTTTAGGTAACTCATAACCCCCTCCGTCCTGCATCACGAACTTTTTTGTTTTAACAAACTTCTTGAAAGTAAATAATAAAATCTTGATCTTTCTATAGCTCCTGCCCCTGTTGGGAACATAAGTTCTGTGAGGACAAGAACTTGTTTGGGTCACCACAGTGTCCTCAAGTACCTAGAACAGTACCTGGCACATAATAGCAGCTCAGTAAACAGCTCTCTGACAAGTGGGCGGAGTCCCCAGAGAGCTGCCAGCACCATTTCTCTCCCTCTCATCACCCGCCTTCTCTCTCGCCCACCACCGCCTGCTTCCCTTTCCTGCCTGGGTCACCAAGGGACGTCCTCTCTCCTCCACAGCGGTCAGCACAGCAGACGGCTCCCTTCTTCACAGATGGTCTGCTTGGGGCTCTTCTCCCGCCTCCCTGGCTGGCAGCTCCTCCCTTCAGCTTGACCTGAAGGGTAGACTGTCCGGGCTCAGTTTCCAGCTACGTACTTCCCCTGGGTAGTCTCCTTGGGGCCCTGGCGGTGAGTCACTCTTCTCCCAGAATGCCCGACCCCTACATCCAACTGCCTTCTTGGCATCTCCACTTGGCGGAAGAATGGGCGTCTCAAATTTCATGTGTTCGGATCCGGGCTCTTAATCTCCCAGACACTCACTCTTCTCCCAGCTTCCCCACCCCACAAACAGCACCACATCCACCTGGTTGCTCCAGCCCCAAACCTGGAATCATCCTCAGTCCTTTTGTTTTTTTGCCTTACAACAGCATGTAATCATTCAGTAAGTTCTGCCAAGTATCCACCCAAAATACAGCTCACATCTGTCCATGCCTCTCATCTCTGCAGCCACCCCCCATCTGGACCACTGCAGAAGCCTCGTAACTCCTGTCCTGCTTCACTTCCCCTCTGGCCCCCCTGCAGGTCAGCCTGGCTGAGCCTTTGTAAGATCATTCAGAGCAAGTGATATCTCGTTTTAAAACTCCCATTGCCCTGCACTGTGCTTAAAATAAGATCGCACTTCCCTTGGCCCACGAGGCCTCAGGGAACTGGGTCCCACCTCCCGCTCCACCCGCATCCTGTCCTGCTCCCAGGCCCACAGCCCCAGGCGGCCTTGCTGCCTTTCTGCTCCACAAACACCCTGAGCTGGTTCCTACTTCAGGACCTTTTCGTGTGCTGGTTCTCTGCAGAGAACTTGTTTTCTCTGGTTTTCTCCTCCAGATGCAGAGTCTCAGGTCAAATGTCACCTTCTTAGAAGCCTCCTTCAGACTAAAGTAGGCTCCCCCCTTGGCCCCTCCCAGTCATTACCTCATCAGAGACCCAGTATTTCTGCATAGCACTTGTCACTATCTGAGATCGTTTCCTCAACCTATTTATTGATTCTCTATCTCCCGGTATCAGCCCCATGAGATCAAGGATGGAGTAAGTGGTGAGTAAATATTGGATAAGCTAATGGGTATTGGATAGGCCAGGTGGTGATGGCTGAATCTGAATTCCATCGTTCCGACCTGACGGGCCAGCTCCACAAAGTCCAGCACGTTCCCAAGCTGTCCTCCTGCCTGAATTCTCTTTGTGGTCCAGGCCGAGCCTGCTCTGGGTCAGCAGTTGGTCCCCAGCCCCACAGGACACCCCCCATCCTGTCTCCTGGCCAGCCTCCTGCTGACAGGCTGGCCGTAGCTTCCCCTCAGTGTCCTTTGGCACTTGTATCCCAAACTCTGCCCGGGTCTTCTTTCATCCTCCGCTGAGTTCCCCCGCCTTTCTCTCCATGCGGAGCAGCTGAGCAACCCAGGAGTTAACCAGCAGCTCACCCTGTTTGCCCACTGGGGACTGCCCTTCACGAGGGCCCGGAGCCCCCACCTCTCTGAGAGCGCAATCACTCCCGTGCTCAGGGAGGGGCAGCGGCAGCCAGCACTTCCCCGAAGACCACTTTCCAGGCCTGTCCCCAAGGACACCTCTCTTTCAGCTGGCTGGAGCTTGTTTTTCTAAGAAAACAACGGTTTGTGTCAGCTCACTGGGGGCAAGTGTTACACAGGTGAGATTTCCCAGAAAACAACCTTGCCCAAACTCTTTGCTCTTATTATTGAGGTCGGCCCATCCTGGTCGGTCTCTCCCGGTCACGGTCCTGCGTCCTCTTTGCAGCATAACCCTGAGCCTTCAGGACTCTGGGAGTGCTGTTCTCATGGCAACCCACGCGACCCTCACCTTCACATTTCTCCTCATTTCTGTGCAAGTCTAGGAAGGAAGGCGGGTCTGCGGTCTGTGCGCTTCCCTGCTTTCCCTTGGCCAGTCCCCTCTCCAGGTATCCAGCCCCAGGGCCGAGCCATCAGTGGTCACAGCCTGGCTGTCAGCGACTCAGTCATGTGCTCACTGGACAGGAGCACTCACGTCCACTCTCCAGTCCTCGTGTTCATTCGTTTGTTCATAACTACATCATCACCACTGCCGCTTCCCTCGCAGAGCTCCGCCCTGCGAATGGCAGAAAGTGGGTCGTGAAGGCAGCTGGTGTGAGCGCTGTGTCTCTAAAACCCTGTCTGTGACTGGAGCGGCTGCGCTGCTCACAGGGCACTCGTGGCCAGGACCGGGCAGTGGCCCGAGACACGATAGCTGGGGAGCGCCCGCGGCTGCCTGCAAGTTCAGCCTCTTTCTGCTGATGTCTGTAGCTGCCATTCATTGAAACTCACCCCACCCAGGCTCTGCATAAGCCCTTTTATGCATCACCTCGTTTACTCTTCAACCCGAAAACAGGGGTGGAGTGACCCTAACTTGATAGAGAACCAAGGCTCAGCAAGGTTCACCGTTCGCCCCAGACCCCCTGGCTGGACAGTGACCGACCCATATGAGCTTCTGTGGCCGAAGCCTGACCCAGCCTCGTGGCCCAGCCCCTGGCTCTGCTCCCGGCCCCGCTCCCACCACCTCCCCACAGCCCCGCCCCTCGGAGACTGTGATGGAAACAGAAAAGCGACCTGAGTGCACCCTCTCACTGGTGTTTTCGCTCTCCCGTTCAACTTATACCTTCAACCTTTCCAGTCTCAACAACAACCACTCTTCTCCTCTTGTCCTGCCGCTGGGGGCCACGGGCCGTCAGCCACTGCACCCCACCTTCTGCTTCTGCTGCCCACCACGTGGCGTCTGGAAGCAGAGAGGCTGGGATTCCCACACGTCCGGTCGATGCGGCCGCCCTGGGTGGCCACTCTCCTGAGTGATGAGCACAGCTGTCTGCGGATGTCAGAGTCGGCACATGTCCCTCCTGTCAGCACCCTCTGATGGCGTCGGGGTCGACTGGGACGGAGAAAGCCAGCATCCTCACCCCGCACACAGGCCCCTAGCCACGGCCTGTGGGGCCCCCCCACCGACTCCCCCGACCCCTGCCCCACTCTGCACTGATCTTCTTGCTGCGTCCCAAACAGCAGGCCCTCCCACTCGGGCCTCTGCCTTCGCTGCCCCTCCCTCTGCCAGAATGTTCTTTTCCAGCTGCTGGCCTTTATGGCTTCTTCCACCACCACCCTCTCCAGAAGGCTTCCCTGGCCACTTTAACACAGCCGTCCCTACTGGGAGCCGCAGCCCACGGGGCCACACCTCTTCTCCTCCATAGCACCGGCACCAGAACGTCAGCCTCACACGGGAGGCGGCAGTGGGTCGGTCGGTTTGTTCGCCGTTCTCTCCCCAGGACCTGGCAGGCAGAGGGGACTCGGTAAATGTCTCTGGGATGACTGGATCCATGCACACACGTGCCTGCCTCGGAATGAGGGGGCCCAGGAAGTGACAGCTGCCCTCTGAGGGGCCGAACCTCCCCAGGGAGGAACAGATTTCAGAGTCCCGAGCTAGGGTCCTGACCCTCTCTCCTCTCCCCAGATGGTATCACGGAGCCATCAGCAGAGGAGACGCGGAGAACCTGCTGCGGCTCTGCAAGGAGTGCAGCTACCTTGTCCGGAACAGCCAGACCAGCAAGCACGACTACTCCCTGTCCCTGAAGTGAGTACACGCGTCGCCCCCCAGCCTCCCCGGCAGCCTCCAGCGAAGCGCGGCCAGCGCGCGTGTCTGTGGCCAAAAGACCTGCCTGCGTGCCCCTGGGAAATTCGCCAGCGCGAGTTATTTCAAGCCTGGGTTTTTCCATTTGATCTCAGTCCCCCGGGATACAGAGGGGTCTTTATGTTCTGTTTCTGCCTCCCCAGAAGAGGAGGGGCCTCGTTCTAGGATTTATATTAAATAACCAAGAATGGCTTTCACATCTACTGTGAGCCAGGGACTGTATGAAGCTCTTAGCATACCTAGGCCTTCTTAAGCCTCCCCACACTCTTTGACAGAAAACATATTGTCCCTATTTCGCAGGTAAGGAAACTGAGGCACAGCGAGGGGCTGTGGCTGGCCCCAGGTCCTCAGGGTAGGGTCAGGACCGAGGCCAGCTGTTTGACTGACCCTTCAGTACTCTCCGCCGCTGCTGTGAGAACAACCTTTTCTTGGGTTCCAGGTTGCTGTTCGGACAGGTCTGATTTCTGGGCATCTCACAAAGGTTCTCGTGAGAGGTGCTGGGAAGAAGAGACCCAGTGGCGGTAGCACCTGGGGCTGCTCTCTGACCCCCAAGGCACTACGGTCCAGTTAGGTAGCCCCAAAAATAAGAAAAGAGGCTTTGGGGGTTGAGTGCTTCATTAGTCAGTGTTGTTATTAGAGCGGACCCAACAAACCGTCCAAAACCCATTTTACAGATAGGAAAAGTAAGACCCAGAGAAAGGAGGGATTGCCCAAGGACACATAGAGAGTTAGTGACGGGATTAGGATATAAAAACCGAGGCCTCCAGCCAGTACAGGCCACCAGGAAGGGTGAAGCCCCCTCTGCTTCCTCTGCTCCGTTCACCGGCGTTGGGGGCCACGTGGCGGAGGGAGGGCCTGCTGGACGTGACTGTCGGGAGCCCATTTACCCGCCGGCTGTGAGGGCATGAGATCCTTGCGGCCCCGGAAGGGGCGCCATTGGGCAGGCAGCAGAAGCGCTCCCTGGAAGTCTGCCTGGAGAGGGGTGGGAACCGCAGCCCTCCGAGGACTGTCGGGGCAGCTGGAGCACTCGAGGCGGAGGCCCAGAGAGGGGCTTGTGGGCAGGCAGATTCAGCTCAGCCAGGAGAAGAGTTTGCTCACAGTCAGAGCTGGTCAAGAGCTCGAGTGATCTCAGGCCGATTCAATGGGTAGTGAGCATCTCATCACTGGGGGTTGCACCAAGGCCTAGACGACCACCTGACCAGGGAGGATGGACATGGAGGGGGTTTCTAAGCTGCCAGGAGGCCCTCAGGACCAAAGGCACCTATGCACATCACTGTCCACCCTCAGACCCAGCAGCTTAAAGAATCAGGTCAGTGATTGCAGCTGGGGAAAATCCAGTGCGTTAAACAGCTACTGGGCAGAGGAGGTTGGGCTGGAGGCCGCCAAAGCTGGAGAGGGCGGTCATTGGAATGGCAGGGGCAGGTACACACCACTGGCCATGCTGACAAAGGCCAGGGGTCCTCAGCCTCTCACTGCTCTGTACAGCCCTCACTGCTGTGTTAACCCAGCAACCCGGTGCCCACGAGCGATGCTTCCAGACTGGGAGAGCTACTGAAAGCCAGTAACATCAGAGGTGGGACTTCCTTGTCACCCCCCCTTTCCTGCTGATCCAGGCAGCCTGCACCCCCCCCACCCAAGGCTTCCTCAGTGTGGTGATCGCCACACAGGCAGCCCCCGAGCTTCTCAGGGGATCTCATTTCTCCTGGCGTCCTGGTGTCTGGGGCTGGCCAGAGGGCTCCTCCCAGGAGGACAGAAGGGATGCACCAGAGAGGAGGGGGTGGCGCGCCCCATGGCAGACCTCACTGTTCCTCCCAAGGGCCAGACAGCAGGACTGCCCTTGAGGGACAGACAGCACCTGGAGCCTGCTCTCACAGTGACAAGCTGGTAGTGCAGAGAGAAAGCAGGGCCCAGGCTGCCCCATCCCTGGCCTTGTGGGGGTGGCAATCATGTCCCCTTTCTGGGCCACAGGGTCCTCATCTGTGCATGGAGTACAGGCAGATGACAATGTTCCTACAGACAAAAGGCATCTGGAGCCCAACCAGGGCGGTGTAAACGTTATTTACATCACTCCCACCCCACCCCTGCTTTCCCAGGTCAGCCCTGCAGTTTCTATGACAGCCGTTTTTAAGGGGCACAGAATGGACCCAGTGTCCACCATTCTGGACAGGAGTCCTGTCCTGCCACTTACTGCTCAGTCTGTGTCCTTGTGCGAGTTCCCTCCCTCTGGGGCTCCGCACCTACGTCTGCCTGGTGTGAGATGGACTTGTGTGGTTGCTGAGGACGCCTTCACTTCTTTCATTAAGGTGTCCCTGACTCCTCAGACTTCCCCTACCTGTGGGCTCAGCCACCCTTCATCCTTGGGGTGCTCTGGCTGGACCCCCACATCTCCGGGCCAGGGAGAAGCTGGCGGACGCTGAGGGCACAGCCCAGCCGCCCGTGCCAGGGCCTGGGAGGGGAGCACCCTGCCATCAGGCCCAGTTTGGATGACTGGTCTCTACCCGTGGGTGAGTGTTTGTCTCAAGCCATTAGATCCCGAAGGCCAGAGGGGTAGTCTGGCCTGGTCGGCTTTCCCTTGAGGAAGCTCAAAACTGGGGAGGTGGGCTAGGCCACTCCCTGGCGGGCAGAGCAGCTGGCTAAGGGAGTGTGGGCTTGCTCCCCAAAGTAGCCCCGATTCCTGATGTCCAGTCTGACTGTCAGCCAGTGAGCGGCACCTGGCATTAACCACCTGGACCACCAATGGGACTGGGACTGAACACGCTGTCTGCTCGGAGCACGTGCCAGCCTTGCCAGGCACCGCATGGGGCGTGAGGGCTCTCCTGTTCCCGAGGCCTGTGGGACCGGCGCAGGGTGTGGAGTGGCCTTACCCCTCCCTGCAGGGTATCATCAAGAACGGGGTGCGAACTGACACTGGAACCCCAGCTGAGTTTTCTTGTAAACCTTGGGTCCCCCTGTGAGAGTGCTCTAGGGTGGAGAAAGGACTCAGGACGTTCTGGCCTCAGAGAACAGGGCCCCCCATCCTCTCCATCCTTCCCTCGGGGGATAGTTGTGAGACCCTCCCACACCAGGCACTGGGCAGGGCAGCAGAGTGAGGGCCGAGGCGAGGACAGCCCGGCGCAGGCCGCAGAGCTCCCAGTCCAGCCCGCTCATCGCAGGCTGTGCTGCACACAGGTCAGCACCGAGGGCCTTGCATAGGCGTGGCAGTCCCTGCCACAGAGGGTCAGGAAACAGGGAAGAGTTGCACTTGAACCTTAAAGAGATGGTGGGTGTTCCCCCAGGGAGGGACAGCTGGTAGGACCCCAAGTAGAGGGGACAGCCCAGGCAAAGCCCATCATAGGGACCTTACCAAGGCTGGAGTGGATGCAGTGGACTCCTGCCCAGTGTCTCCGCACCCCCGTCTAAGCATTCCTTACACCAGGTCAGCAGGTCAGCAGGTGTCAAACCTGGGAGTGACCCGAGAGGCCCACCTAGTCCATCCCTTTGCTTCCTGGGTGAGGAGGCTGAGACCCATTGGGGATTCACGATTGGCCTAAGTCTCCCCACCTGGCAGTCGACTGCACTCACAGAGACAGAGGCTGCTGCCCACTGTGGGGACCGGACAGGTCCCTGCACCAGCCCAAGCTGCCCTCTTCTGCCCCCCACCAAAAGCTCCTGCACTCCCCACCCAGCACCTCTTAGTCCCCACCCCCTGTGGCGCACACCCCCCACCTGTGAAGCAGCCTTACCAGGATCCCGCCTCCTTGTGTTGGAACACTGAGTCCATCTGCTCCCCTCACCGAGTTCTCCCCCCTCCCATGTGCGGCCTGGCTCGACAGAGCCACAGGCCCTGAGGCTCCCTCTCGGCTACCAGTGGACATGGTGACCCTGGCATCTACCACTGACCCCTGCGTACACTCACTCCAACCTCTGGAAGCAAAGGATCAAGACTTTAAAAATTGGCAGGGAAACATCATACTCTAATACAGTTTCCTGTCTAAAAAGGCAGGCAGTTGGGGAAAGAGATGAAAAGTCTTGAAAAATCTCATTAAAAGAGTTCTTCAGGCATTTTGGACTGTGAATGACTCTTTGCAAGTTCTGGTTCCATGAGTTTTTGCAAAGGAATCTGGACAAGATGAGGGAAATAGGACTTCAAAGCTGGAGAGCTTGCAGCTGAGGCGCCGGGAGCAGGGTGAGCGCCAGGGCCTCCCTCCCTCGATGCCGGGTGGCCCCGGCCTGCCTTGGGTCTGCGCCTGGGAGACACAGCGGCACTTCTTAGGATGCCACTTCTTTGACAAGGGCCTGGCCTCAGCTGTCTTCAGGCAGTGAGAGTCCCAGCCCTGGTGGGGGAGATGGCTCCAAGGAGTCCTCAGCAAAAGGGCCATCAGCTTTCCAGTCCCCAAAGACACAGTGCACAGCATCCTTGCAAATGTGGCTCAAGAGGCGCTGCTGGGGTCTGGCCTGTTTCCATCAGGGTGTGTCCCAGGCCTGGCCATTCAGGAACCTTCCTCAGACCCTGTAAGCTCTGCCCCATTCGGTGTCATTTACGGGGCTCCGGTCCTCCAGGACTTCATGGCTGCAGGTGGGGGAGATGTTCACAACTGCAATTCATACACAGACAATCCCTGACTTGGGAAGGTTTGACTGGATGGTTTTCTTGATTTTACGATCATATGAAAGCGGTACACATTCTGTAGAAACCGTACTGCAGTTTAAGTTCTGACCTTTTCTCAGGCCCCCAGTGCAAGGTAGGATCCTTTCCCCTGATGCTGGACAGCGGCGGAGAGCGGAGTTCCTCATCAGGCCCTCGGTCACCTCGCTGGAGCCGACTCCAGTGCCCTAAGTGTAGCATCCTCCACTTAACATACTTTCACCCCATGATGGGTTTATCAGGACGTAGCTTCACTACCGGTCAAGGAGCAACGTGTTTAGGGCTGTGCCAGGAAGTGAGTTCGCAGCACAGTGACAGG